CACCGATTTAGAACTTCTACGGAACATGAATAAATAAATGTATGTCAATATACTTCCTGCACTGCCAAATATAATTGTGAAAAATCCAAAGATTGCAACAAATAAATTAGGCAATTCATATTCTAAACAATTATTGTGCCGTGTTCCATCAAAATTGGAAGTTGAACTATTGTTGCTACTATTCATTTTCCTCCTTGAAGGTTGATATAATATTAGATAGTTTATTTATTCAGTACTAGAAGAACTAATTAAAATAAGGCCTATTTATATACTTGTATTTGTTTTTACCCCTTCTTTGTCTACTGAACTGTAATTTTTTTCAAACTTCACTATGTATTTATCATTTCTAATAGTTTTTTACTTAGCTGTTACTGAATTATACGTTTATACGTATGTGAGCACGATAAAAGGGTTAGAAATTTTGTTTGTATGTGTTTCACTTTGATCGTGTTTACTGCACGATTAACCTACATTATCAACACGCAAACTTTATTACATTTCAAATGAGTTATTTTAAAAAAAAATTCCCATATAAATAATTAAGCAAAATATACATCCAGTTCAATGATATATTCATTTTTCAATCCTAATACTTTTTGTTTTCATAAGAAGAAGAATGTACAGTGTTAAATTTGTATAGATGGAAATGAAACAATATGAACTTTATATTTTGCATAATGTCAATTACTTTTTCTTCTTCTTCTCATGACTAGCATTTATTTTAGCTTTAATTGTCAACAGTGATGAATGAATTCACTACACATTGTTTCTATGAAATTTATTTTGTTTTTTTAAAATAATATTCCTTATTATATATAGTTGAGATCATAAGTCAATTGAAGCTAGGCCACCATAGAAAACCTGAAAGCACTGAACGGCCGTTTCGTCTTATTGTGGGACTCCTCAGCAGTGCTCATTCACGATCCCGCCTCGCGAGATTTGAACCCAGAACCTACCAGTCTTGCGCCAGAGCACTTAACCGATAGACCACTGAGCCGGCATCCAACGGTGTTAATCTCTTTCCTTATTAATAAACAAAGCTTACAAACCGTTAGAACGAAAACGTAGAATTCACATGTTTATTTAGAAACTCAGTGTCATAGAAATTAACTTTATAGTGTTTACTTATCAAAAAATATAATATTTAAAATGTGAATATCTGTACAATAGAATGATTATATATGTAGTTAGCTGGAAAATTAGCCATTTCTGAAGTTTATTCAACAATTAATTTTACACTATACATGGTAGTATGTCAACACATACTTTGATTTAGCTTACACTGTGATATTCTCAACTATTCCAATTAATGTAAGATAACATTATGAATTGACTTACCTCTCTTATTTTAGGCTATACGTCTGACCTAAACACTGGTCAGTTATTAGATGTTGGAAAGCTCTGATGTTCAAGTCCGTTTTACATTTTACCAGAATCTCTCTTCAATGTTTTGTCTTCTCTTAATATCCAAGTCAATAAAATTATTTTTTACTTACTAAATGCTCAAATCCTACTTCATATTTAGTTTAGCAAACGTGACAAACGACAGTTATGTACTAATGAGGAATTTAAAAACAAAACTAAGTAGCATGCTATGGAAACTGTTTTAAAATATTATTAACTTTACATTTTGTTCAGCTCTTCTATACACACCTATATTTAATAAATCACTTTGAAATCAAAGTAAATATCTTTTAGGAAAAGAGCTTTGAACACCCATTTATTATAAGTTACTACTGAATTAAATTTATGTTTAAGTTATAAAGGTCATTCATAACTTTTCCAGCTTTCAAATTTAAATGAAGTATTGTTCTTTATGGATAAAACTAAGCATACCAACTAGTATTTTATGTAGTGTGATTAATTTATATAATTATATATACTGTTTTATAATGGAATTTCAAGATGTTATTCATGTGGTATCAAATTTTATTGTTTGTGTGGGATTTTAATTGTGGTAAGGGTTTATGAATCTGAACCCATCTTGGTTTTATCGTTGTTTAAATCCTGAAAAAACGTATGTTGACAGATATAAATATCATGTAACACCAATGGGAAATGGAATGCCTTCCAGCAGAAGATTGAGAAGATTAAATTGATGAGAACAGGAGGGGAAACAGAGAGCAGTTATAATAGCAACAGGATTGAAGTATCATGGATCGTGTAAAGAACGACTGAAGAAAGACGCGCAAATAATATATTTAATGTATGGTATATTTTATAAAAGCGCTCTTTAGTTTTGCTTTAAGCAATAAATTGGTTATCCCCACCAAGCTTTTGTTCACTTCGACTTCACTAGACTTAATTTTTGTCATCATTAAATATTCGACGTCATTTAATTCGAATCTTCTTGTTCATAGTGTTAGATAAAAAAATAGTGAGATATTGTGAAATTTTAAGCTTTGTTTCAAAACTTCAATGTTGAGACCTTTAGATATTTTATTTCAATAAATAATTTATGATAGTGAATTTTACTCTTGCTCTTCTACTTACTTGTTTGTGTGAAAAAAAACTGCATTCAAACATATTATTACTTTTGAAAACAAAAATGTGTATAATGTTTCTGTTTTATTGTTACTATATTGTTGCTACTATTTAACATTTCTTGAATTTCCCCATACGACCAATATTGTTAGCCCATGTTTGTTAAACATTGAAATCTCGTTGGATAAATTCGAGTATTCATCATTTAGCTGTTACAGAGTAAGCTTTTTAAACATATCAGGTGAAACATTAACAATACGGAAAGAATAAAGTTCATACATAATTAGCCAACAAAAGAACAAAAAATATATGCTCATATGATGCTCTGAGGAAGAGGTTGATGATTATTTGTAACATGCTGACGAAAATAAGCCATCTGAAAATTCTTTTTAAAGTTCATTTATACAGGACAAAATAGTTTGGATAAATTAACCGCTTGTAAAAAATATTTTTGCTAAAACTATAATACTGTTCTAATCAAAGTCGTTCCAATAATTTCAGTAATAAAAGTTGTAGACTACGTAGTCGGAGTCCCATCGATTATCATAACTAATGGTTAGAGACTTTTGGTAGCATAGCTGAGAATCGTTCGCAATTGTGCAGATGCATCCACTTCTCGTCTTCCGTTAGAACCTGAGTTCCAAAATCTCCTTATACACTTTTTTTCTTTTTGTATACCTAATCCTTTCTACTGCTGCTGTGGTATATACTACTTATGCTGACTGATATAAGTAGTATGTTGCACCAATATGAGGTGGATTACCTGGCAGCAGAAGATTGAAATAAAGAGAACGGAAAGAAACTCGGAGATTAATCTAAATAACAACAGAATTAGAGGAATAATGAAGTACATAAAGGACAACGAAAAGGGATGTCATGTATTTAATGTGCGAATTCCATATTTTACTAAGCCACTGTGTGATTTTGCATTAATCAATAAATTGGTTTTTCACACCTGAATTCTCATTCACTACACTTCTACTATCAATGATACTGGTATTTTTATTACTCCTACTACTTAAGAATTTTTCTTGAGATAATTTTATCTAGTTGTGCTAATGTGGTATAGAAACTTGAACTGGTACTAGTTCTACGTTGCATATGACAATGGATGAGCGAGTATTAAATGCTCATTAAACTTAGATGTATTCAATTATTTGTTTGTTTTCAAAGTTTTAACAGTAATTTTACTTTCTAGTACACTCATGCTTATGATTTACTTCGGAAATCAAATTTTTAATCTCATATTCATATCGCTGGAGTATCCTCTTTTCATGTTAAATATGAGCAGAAATCATAAATATCATTTTTCCTAAGGTTTCTGGATGCGTTACTTCGTACGAATTTATGATCTATGCATTACCATTGTTGTCTCTAAATTTATTATAGAGATCAAGTTTTCATTCTATAGTTGCTTTTTTTTTGATCCCTCTATTCCTTGACTTTAGTTGGTAGTTAATTAAGCATGAGAAATGCCAATCTTTTACATTACTTTTTTTAATGCCCTCGTAACCATTCAAAGTAAATGTAACTAAAGTAAATCTGTCAGTGTCATAACAAACTTGAAGCAATAGGGTTAGAATAATGGATCATTAAATGGCAAAATTTATCTTGTTTGTCAGTAGGACCATATCGATAGTCAAAATCTTACGCTTATTGATTTTTAACTCCATAATTATTAATAATCCAGTTTAAATTTGAATGTACTAATTTAGCACCATGTTTTATTGAAAGATGTTAGTGTGCAATAAAAACTATAATTGTAATCAACCTCCTCGTGATATTCATCGAGCTTTCAAAGTCATCTCATTGATGCGTCATTCTTCTCAATGGTCATAATAGGTTCCTTGACTAATAGGATTCGATCAGTATTGAGAATTAGGTCATCAATATGATTATTATTTGATAAGTAATTTATATTATATTATTAATAGTAGCACGATTTTGTTGCTTAACAGTTTGAATCGATTTTCCAGTGGAGCTGGGGTGTAGTGGTTAAGATGTTCAACTTCCAACCATTAGGTTGCACCCTAGAGCTTTACTTCATCTAATTCGGTTTGGACAGTTAGATAATATCACTGTTCATCGTATAAAAAATGTGGCTCAAAGCTGGACATACGAATCTATACATAATGAATGAGTTACATTATCAGCGTGATTCTCAGAATGGTACTTTATTTTGGCAAATAACTGTAATCCTGATGACTCTGATTGGATTATCAGATTAACATTTATATACAGAATGTGAAATTCCAAACATCGCAAGTTGTATGTCAGTCAGTTGATGACTTTACTAGATAAATCTGATTCATGAGTACGGTTTCTTTATTATTCAGTTAGTTAGATGTTTATTACAATCACGTGACCATATCGAATAATTAGTTAAATTACTGTACTGTAACAATAGTAATGATTAATTTATGGTATAATTATTGTTTTACTGATTGCCATGTAGTATTTTGAGTTAGTTTTATTGTGGTTATATTTTTATTTGTTTGTCTTTTTTCAAAATCTAGCTTCATAAATGCTTTATCGCCAACAATTAGCTTGTATAATTTGGCACAACGGTTTCATTCTCAGTCACATTGTTTAGATTTAGCCTTGTGGCTAATTTATCGTGGTCATGCATTGATTGTTTATCCAATTGTCGCTAATAATATGTATATTCTTGCACCCCATTCTAAAGCATGGTTCACACCTCAATTAATTGGTCAATTTGCAACATCGTTTCCTGATGTCAATTTTGCTGAGGTAATTAATTATAATAATATTTATAATAATATTAATAATGATAATAATAATAAACTATGAAGGCCATCACTGAAATAGCTAAAAATGTTCAGTATGACCTGCAGAAGTTATCGGCTCAGTCCATTTAACAATGATGAATTTATACAGCTAAATACTTGCATAATAGAAAAAGTGACTGTTCAGTTTTCCAGGAATTCCAATAGTTCCTGACCAACTCTTTTTATCAATGTTTATCTTTTTTGAATATCCCTATATAGTTCTGTACATTTATTTGCTTAAGAAGTCTCTAATGTAACATTTGTGTCTAGAAATTCATTTAATTAGCTATTAATCGAATACAGTCTGTTTACTACCCTTTTTTAATTATAACCTATAGCTTTTAACATCGTTTTCAACAAGCTTTATACTAAAAGACCATTTCGATTCGTCCAATTCTGTCGTTGACAACCTTCATTATGATGGAGATTCGGATGTTGTTCGTAATCGATCTCCAAAGACCTCATGGACAAACTTACCGTTAACGGAGAAAATAAATTTAATTGCTTGGCTACTTCGACGTCGACTTATAATACAAGTAAATATTAGATTAATAATTAAATGTTATGATTCAGCAAATCTCTGAATAATTAATCATTACATTATTGCATCATTATCATTACATATTATTATATGCGCAGCAAAAATACTGAACATTCTCTTCAGCAAGATTTAGGATGAAGAACAAGTACCAACAGACTGGAAAGAAGGACTTCTGATCAAGATACCAAAGAAAGGCGATCTCAGCAAGTATGATAACTACAGGGGCATCACTCTTCTCTCAATACCAGGAAACGTCTTCAACAGGATATTGTTAAACAGAATGAAAGACTCTGTAGACGCCCAACTTTGAGATCAACATGCTGGATTTCGTAAGGATCGATCGTGTGCAGACCAAATCGCAACTCTACGGATCATTGTGGAACAATCAATTGAATGGAATTCATTACTCTACATCAACTTCATTGACTACGAGAAAGCATTTGATAGCATGGACAGGACAACACTATGGAGTCTTCTTCGACACTACAGCGTGCCTGGGAAGTTAGTCAATATCATACGGAATTCCTGTGATGGATTAAACTGCGAAATCGTACATAGAAGACAACTGACAGACTCGTTTGAAGTAAAGACCGGTGTTAGACAAGGTTGCTTACTCTCACCCTTTCTTTTTCTTCTGGCGTCACTGGATTATGAAGGCGTCAACATCTGGGGGGGAGAAGCATGGGATACAATAAATAGCTAGGATACAACTGGACGATTTAGACTTCGCAGATGATCTGACTCTTCTATCACACACGCAACAACAAATGCAGGAAAAGACGACCAGTGTACCGGCAGCCTCAGAAGCGGTAGGTCTCAACATACACAAAGGGAAAAGCAATATTCTCCGATATAACACAACATCCATCAACCGAATCACACTTGATGGAGAAGCTTTAAAGTGTATAAACATTTTACGTAGCTAGGTAACATCATTGATGAACACGGTGGATCAGATGCAGATGTGGGGGCACGGATCAGCAAAGCAAGAGCAGCATATCTACAACGGAAGAACATCTGGAACTCAAAACAACTGTCAACCAACACCGAAGTCAGAATTTTCAATAAAAATGTCAAGACAGTTCTACTGTATAGTGCGGAAACTTGGAGAACTACGAAAGCCATCATCCAGAAGATACAAGTGTTAATTAACAATTGTTTACGCAAGATACTTCGGATTCGTTGACCAGACACTAACAACAACAATCTACTGTGGGAGACAACAAACCAGATTCCAGTGGAGGAAGAAATCAGGAAGGAGCGCTGGAACTGGATAGGACACACAATGAGGAAATCACCCAACTGCGTCACAAGACAAGCCCTCTCTTGGAATCCTGAAGACCAAAGAACACATTACGCCGAGAAATAGAGATAGACATGAGAAGAATGAACAAAAGTTTGATAGAACTGGAATGGAATGCCCAGGACAGAGTGGGTTGGAAAACTCTGGTCGGTGGCCTATGCTATATTGGGAGTAACAGTCGTAAGTATTATTGTATATATTATGAGTTGGGCAATTACATGCTACGAATTAAACCGATAATTTATTGTGCGCTTGACATGGAATTATACCCTTTATTTAAAAATGCCTCATTCTTTGGGCAATTTACTTCAAATTCATTCTAAGTGGTTATTAAGATTCCTTCCTCATACCTGAGAGAGGCCACACTTTGGTGTTTTTTGCAGGTTCTGTTTGGTTACAGTGTTGAGATTTACACGCAAATTGAAATTGTACTAACTCACTAGTCCTTAAGCCAATTGTCAGCTAATTTCTTAACAACTGAACAAACATGTTTCGCATAAAATGTAGGCAGTTTTTGTGTTAGATATGTTGATAATATGTTTGTTACATGTGGCGGAATGTCTCACTCATATTCAGTGACTGGTATCCATTTGTCCAGCTCACCAATGATTAAATCAGGTGTAACTTGCAATTCCTTAACTTTTTGTTTATAATATGAAGTGACAGAGATTTGAGGTATACAGTTTACAAACCTCCATAGGGAATGAAAGGATTGCAAGTTTCTGAAACTTAGTGTTTATAAGAAGAACATGAAGATCTTATCTATTTCCTGGTCTTACGGACCTGTAAAACCTATGCGAAAATAGCATAGAGAAAAAAAGTCAGTTTTTCAGAACTAAGTTCCATTTACGAACAACATATTCTTCATCTTGTTAAGAATGGTAATACACTAATTGAGTCACCTAAATGTCACCAGTGTAAATAATATGAGAATATACTGAAATTCATTTTTACAGGGAAGACATTATTGACACAATCCAAAATAAGCTCAAGAGATCAGATCAAGAACAAGGTGATGTCGACTGTTTTTACCAGTATGTGGACGATTGTCATATTCTGACTGTTCAAGCTGTGCAAATCGGTCGATGAGTTAGTTATCACTTTATGACTACCTTTTTTTTACCTTTGTTGTCCTTATATTTCCGAACTGGTCTAGCTACTTGATCATCTCACTCCATCGTATTAACTACAGTTCAGTGATTACGTATAAGAACGTATATTGGATTTTAAATATACGTGAAGGAAATCAAACGATGCTCATAACCTTTTGTGTGATAAACTAATGTATAAACGAATATCTCGATTTTTTTACTGTGTCGGGATTACATCAGTCATTATAACCAAACAGACCAGTAATTATTTTAATTCGATTCATATTGGAGTTCCTTGGCTCATATCTGGCAACCAACAGGTTTTGAAGTGCATCTATAACTCAAAAACCGTTAAATTGTTTCCTTTCAGAGTTAATCTTGTTAAATTGAATTTACTTTGCTTATTTAGATTCATCTCTACATATTCCCAACATTTTTATCCAATAACAATATAAGCGAAACGAATACGTTCAACGATATTTCAAAACATTCGGAGGGTGTACACGTGTCCAATGATAATGTTAACAGTATAATACACAGTAGTAGTAATAGTAGCAGTGAATACGACAGTGATGAAATCACACCAGAAGTAAAAGACAGTAATAATTTAGGGATCGACCCCACTGTTTTTAATTTTGATGAATTGTGTAAGAAAATACCAAAAGATGTCTTATGTGAATTAACCAATAATCTACCTGTTGAATCTCAACAAAAATTACTTCTATCAATTTTGAGTCATCCTGGAGCAATACAAAATATCTCACTTCTTCGATTATTTGGACGAATTTTACCTCATCTTCCAGCTCACTTGGAAGAACTTATGTTTAAAGAAAAAATAAAACGATCTACTCTGGTTGAATGCATTGAAAGATTTGCTCCATTCTTAGCCACAGCAAGACTTCCAGATCCTGTCACATCTTGTTTTGCTGGAATACCATGGCCGAACTAGCATTCCTCTCATTTATTTATATTCAGTCTATGTAAAAACAAAATTTGAAACGCATCACATTAAAATCCGAACTCAACGTTAGCTTATACTCCTTAATTTCATAGTTTGTTGCCAAAGATTTACATCTAAGTTCTACGCAACAATTTTATTTGACTTCATCGTAAAATTTTGTATCAAGTATTTTCCTATGTTATAATGTCCATTGGACGTAACAATGCAGACAAATCTCACAATCAATCTATCTTATTTGAAATTCATTAATTTCTATTTACTAAATTATACTTGAAGAACACTACTGTTCATGCAAAAGTGATATCATTACACATCTTGTTTCATATGACTTGGTAACATGATTGTAATGAATATTAGTGTGTCGTTTAGTTGTGACATCTACTGTAGAAATATGTTTATGCAGTTTTAAAATGTTTAAATGGGAATCCACCTTTTTTATATTATCCAAAAAAGTACTTTTTATCTTTGTTTTGTTAAATCTTTTTTGTATGTTCATACTTCGTATTCATAAATTTTTTTTAATTAGAAAACATTTTCTCATTGGAATTCATGTAAACAAAATTATTTTATGAATGAAGTAAAAAGTTGTTTTGTAAAGAAAATACTTGGTCTGATTGGTTTTTTCCATAGTTCATTAATATAGGTTTAAATCTTTAAAATGAATGATTATACTTTGTTTTTTGATGTTCTCGGTGGATTCTATACAAGTAGATGTTAAGAAATAAGTCTTTGTGATGATGAACTTTATCCGGAACTATACTTACTTACGCCTGTTACTCCCGATGGAGCATAGGCCGCCAACCAGCATTCTCCAACCCACTCTGTCCTGGGCTTTCCTTTCCAGTTCTATCCAATTGCTGTTCATTCTTCTCATGTCTGTCTCCGTTTCTCGGCGTAACGTGTTCGTTGGTCTTCCTCTTCTCCTTTGGCCTTCAGGATTCCAAGAGAGGGCTTGTCTTGTGACGCAGTTGGGTGATTTCCTCATTGTGTGTCCTATCCAGTTCCAGCGCTCCTTCCTGATTTCTTCCTCCACTGGAATCTGGTTTGTTGTCTCCCACAGTAGATTGTTGTTGTTAGTGTCTGGTCAACGAATCCGAAGTATCTTGCGTAAACAATTGTTAATTAACACTTGTATCTTCTGGATGATGGCTTTCGTAGTTCTCCAAGTTTCCGCACTATACAGTAGAACTGTCTTGACATTTTTATTGAAAATTCTGACTTCGGTGTTGGTTGACAGTTGTTTTGAGTTCCAGATGTTCTTCCGTTGTAGATGTTCTGCTCTGGCTTATCCGGAGCTATGCTTTCTTTTTAATTGCTTCAGTGTATGAAAAAAATCCTATGCTACTGATTTGTTTGCTAAGTTTAAAAAATTCTGCATTCGTAAATGTCATTTTACAAAGAGAATAATTACAATAGCAGCATTATTAATTATGCTAGGGCGTATTTAATGTATTTTATCTTTGGCTACGATATTTGCACTTAAAGTAATTGACTTCATGCCACAATTCGTGCATCGACGTTACTACTAACATTTGACTGTCAACGAAAACATAGTAACAGGTAAATTGTATGAAAAGCTCTTTTGTCAAGTATATAATGCTTACAGCTTGTTCTTATTTTTGGAAAGTCTAGATGACCGAATTGTTTCAAGGCAAGGAGCATAACTTCTACTCATCATTTAATCCGTTTTTCCCATATATCTATCGTTATTGGATTCCATTGTTTTAGTCGGAGCCATCTGTTTACTGTTCTAATCAGAGCTCTTTAGTTGATTGTATTTGCAAACATTCAGTATTTACTATTGGACAAGCTATAAAACTAGTTGTGTTTGATTCATACAAGATTTGGTGATCAGGGTACAAGAATAAATTTTAATCAAGTAATTGACTCTGTATTCACGTATAGATTGAAATAAGCATCGAAGTCATTGTTCAGGACTAAATTTATGGAAAATACATTCAATTCTGTTTCAGTAGAAAAACAAGAGACTATTGTTTGACGTCTTCACACTATAGAACTGTCTGTTCTCCACTCCGATTTACTTAGAGAAAGTATTTTGAATGTTAAATTCACAAGTTGATTTTAGCTAGACCACAATTGAAAACCTGAAAGCACCGGGGGGGGAGCCGTCTCATCCTAGAATGAGATTCCTCTCATGCACACTAGTGACTAGCTTGAAGACGGATTTCTTCGAGTCCTGGTGAGAGCTATGACCAGTGAAGTCCAATCCTCTCGGGTGAGATACAATTATTCACATCAAACAATGGATGAATGGTTGCGCAATATCATTGATCGATTGAAAATAGATATTAACATTCTTGGATGCCGGCTCAGTGTTCTAGAAGTTAATCGTTCAAGTATTCCCATCTGTTGAAAAAGATATTGTACATGTAAAAGCCGCTTTACTTCTGTCTACTTTTCTGAAACAGCAACTCTTTGATACCTACTTGAAAGTATATCCTTTTATTATCAAAACTTTATTGGTTATCGTCGCATTTTAATTTATTTAAAATTGGCAGAGTGAAAATCAGGGAATATCAACGGCGCAGAGAATCTGGCGTCCATTGAATTCTGAAATTAACATTAATCTTCGTATAGACATTGTGGGGCCGTTGCCCCCATTGCACGGGTATGATCACATACTCACGTGCATCGACCAATTCGTAAGATGACCCGAAGCTATGCACATCACGTCTATTACGGCGGAGACAGTCGGTCACCGCCTCGTAGAATGATGGATAGCGCTGTACGGTTGTCCCTCGACTGTCACGACTGACCGAGGACGACAATTTGAGTCCGCATTATTCCCCTCGCTAACCCGACTACTTGGTACGGAACGCATACGCACTATCGTCTACCACCTAGCATCAAATGGTTTAGTTGAACGGTTTCATTGCCAACTTAAAAGTGTTCTTCGAGCACATGTGAATGACAATTGGTACGAAACCTCACCGTTCATCTTAGGTATCAGAACAAGTTTAAAGTCAGATATTCAGTGTTCCGCCGCTGAACTTGCTTACGGCACAATATTGTGCCTGCCTGGGGAATTTTTCGCACCACAAAGAAGTGACGATTTCGGTAAATCAGACTACATCCAACGATTGTCTGAATTTATGCGAACACTGCCTCCGGTGTCAACTCGTATGCACCATCGACAGATCGCTCTCACTCGAGAGTTACCTACCTATTCACATGTTTTCATACGAGTAGATTCGATGCGTAAACCATTTCAACAGCCTTACGAAGGACCTTTTCATGTGATTTCCCGTCTCCAAAAAACCTTCAAGGTTGATCGACATGGCCGCGTCGAGATAGTCAGCATTGCTCGTCTCAGGCTAGCACATGTCGATGACAGTGCCCTACCTCTTACTCAGGCTCTAAGCTAAGTGCCTGCAACCCTAACTTTCCCTTATTTGATGGCCGTCTTTTAACTAAACAGTTGATCCTGTCTACAAGTTATAAAATAATGTCCTTTTTTAACCACCTCCAAGTGCTCAGAATCTGATTTAAGTCTTCTCCATTAGTGCATGTTCGCCTTCAAAAAAATATGTTTTTAGGTACCAACTCAATTACAGATTCACGAGAGTGTATCATCAGATCTTCCATGACAAAAGGAACCACTTGCTTCTGTTTGTAACCATTGCCTGTTTCCAACCTTGACGGGGGTCTATCTAGTGGATTCACTGGTAAGAATGAAAGATGTTAAAAGTTTCATGACAAAATCAAGGAATCAAAAGAATGAAGAATGGGACTTTCTTACTTAATAGATGTCCCAAGTTGTGCATATTCTAGTTATTCAAGGTTGTTTCGAAGGTCTGGGTAGCGAGAAGCTACTGTGAGATAGAGGTTTGTTAATCAGACCAAACAAATGAGATACTGGAGGGTCATATTTCAAACGGATGCTGAAGGAAGGCATGCTAGAAAATCTCTAGGGCTTTCAGGAGGCAAAGGGAGTATATGAATTACTTCCAATCATTCATGATGCACAAAATGCAAGGCCGATAGTAAACGTTTGTTGAAACAGTGGTCTGTACAGTAATATATGTTAATCGGTTACTACTATAGCAACCATCCTACAATCAATTCCGATTATAACCAATTTTGGTTAAGCCCTTTTTTATAACTTACTTAACAGACATTGTCATTTGGATAGTAACAATTTGCATATTCTTTGCACTGCAATAACACTAGAGCACATGACACTCTAGCCGAAATATTGACTGCTTAAATATTATTCGATGACTCATACTCCTCCCCATATATGTACGCACACAAATATTATTATCAGCCTTTGTTTTGCTTTGCTGTGCCCTTATTAAATTTGACTATAAATTGCCTATGTAATTGCTTGCTATTTGCTCGCTCGCTCGCTCGCTTGCTCCTCGTTCGTTTCCTTCGCTTGTTTGCCTGTTCACTCGCTCGTTCATATTCGCTCAGGTGTTGTTAGCTTCCGAACCTGAGTCATTCGACAATAAACTGTAGTTGCTGCTATCCTTTGTCTTCTGATTTTACGCGCCGTTAAGTTTAGAATTATAACGGTTATCGAAGTAAACGGTTAACGAATCGCGGCACTACAGAATTGGAGGCCCTGCCGAACAAGCACGACGCAATAGAATTGGTTGCCTCGCCGAACGAACACGACGCAATACAATTGGTTGCCTCGCCGTACGAACACGACACTACAGAATTGGATGCCTCGACGAGCGAACACAAAACAATTTTCGACGAGATAATTTCATTTCGAAAATTCAGCGTACTCTGTTTCTATTCGAATTATTATCTGGATTATAATCATAATTGTGGATTTATTATATCACAATTTTAATCGCACGTACATTATCCCATAAACTTTATTGAACTTAACGATAATATTCATAATAAATAACGATTATTCACGAACAATTGATATATTGGTGCAATTTAGTAAATGTGTTCCATTTTATAAATTGTACCTTTTGTTATTATCATTTTTTTCATCGATTCATTTCTCTTAGTGACATTAACGTTATATTCGCATACTGTTTAATTTACTATTATTAGTAGTAATGTCTTTAAATAACGAAACAATCGATCTTTCACAGTCACCATCTGTGGGAGTTATTAATGTTACTATTCCCTCTTTTAATGTTAATGATCCTCAACTCTGGTTTATTAGACTTGAAAATTACTTCGTAGCTAATCGTATTCTTTTACAGCGACATAAGTTCGGCTATGCAAGCTCACTACTTCCAGATGAAGTAGCAGACAAGGTACGAGAGGTCCTAACTAAGCCGGATGCGGTAATTCCGTACGACGTATTGAAACAGGCAGTAATAAAAGCTCTCTCGTTAAACGACCGGCAAGCTGTCGAGCAATTGCTGAGTGAAGTGCAAATCGGAGATAGAACGCCTTCGCAGTTAAAAACGTATATGAGCAACATAATTGGAGACAGAAATGTGGATAAAAATATATTTTACCAGTTATGGTTGCGACGACTCCCACCGAACGTACAGCAGATCCTCGCTGTTGGAGATAGCGATGTAGACATAGACAACATCGCTAAAATAGCCGATAAGATTTACGGGAGAATGAGACACGCGACTCCACAAACGCTCAACTCCATAGTTGACGAAAGAATCGAGGCCTTGCAAAAGGAAACTAATGCGCTATGCCACAAATTAACGAGTCTAAATGACAACGACAGGAAAAGAAGTTGGTCGCGCGGCAGATCAAGAGATAGAGACCGATCATTTCCTAAGGGACTACCAGATCCTGCTATATGCTGGTACCATCAAACATTTGGGTACAGAGCTCGAAACTGCAGGTCTCCACGCAAATTTAAACGATCCCAACGATTCTCAGTAACGACTACGAAAATCAAAGCAGCTCCCACGAGCAATCGTTTATTCTATGTTCAGGACAGAGTAACGGGTGCGCAGTTTTTAGTAGACACGGGAGCAGAGATAAGCGTCGTCCCTCCTTTGAGCAACGAAAAACAAAATATCGATACTGCGCTAACTCTTAAAGCAGCGAATAGATCCGACGTAAAGACATATGGCAAGCGAAAGCTAACCTTGAATTTTGGCCGTAATATTTCACTTTACTGGGAATTTGTAATCGCTGATGTGTCCGTACCCATAATTGGTATCGATTTCTTAAAGAATTTTGACCTATTAGTAGATTCTCGACGAAACCAACTTGTGAATGGAGAACGCTCAGTAGTCATAAGAGGAGTGACCACTGATCATGTATCTATGAATTTAGTAGTGTCGAAAGATAGGAACGAGCAATATAAGTCACTTCTAAATAAGTTCGCCGATTTAACGAGGTCATCATACGACAA